CGGTCAGATAATGCTGCTGAATATTTTGAAGAATCCTTGAACTTATTCATGGAAGATGCTGGCATGTTACATCAATCATCTTGTGCTAATACCCCTCAGTAGAATGGGGTTGCTGAGCGCAAGAATAGACATCTATTGGAGACAGCTCGAGCCTTACTATTCCAGCACAAGGTTCCCAAGCAATACTGGTCTCAAGCTGTACTTACTGCATCATATCTGATAAATCGGATGCCATCTAAGGTGTTGGATATGAAAACCCCTTTCTCTGTTCTGTGTCCTACTCTTCCAGACTTTCCTCTTCCTCCACGTGTCTTTGGCTGTATATGTTTTATACATGTGAAGTATCCAAAGAAGACCAAGTTGGATCCTAGGGCTATGAAAGGAATATTTTTGGGGTATTCTCCTACATAAAAGGGTTACAAGTGTTATGATCCTGTCTCCAAGAGAAAGTATGTCACCAGAGATGTGGTCGTTTTTGAGTCTCAATCCTATTTTCAGTCTTCTCAGAATCCTCTTCAGAGGGACACTAGTGGGATGGAAGAGGATTCTCATTCTCCCTCCTTTTTTGTTCCCCTATCTGCCTCGGGCCTTCCATCCTCTTCTTCTACTCCTAGTTGTGGTATCTCGGGTCAACCTAGTGAGGCTCGCATTGTGCCTGCTACCTCTCCTGATACTGCAGATATCCCTGAAGGCTCCAGTAGGGAACAAAAAGAGATACAAATCACCTACAACAGAAGGAAAAAGGGCCCTCGAACTCATGACAACAACCAGTTGGACTTGGATCAATCTGTCTCTGCAATCCAAGGTAATTCCAACACACATACTTCTGATTTGGATCTTTCTATTGCTCTTCGTAAGCCTATCCGTTCTTGCACCACTTGGAATCCCATCGCTGATTTTGTTTTTTACTCACATTTATCTCCAGCCTATCACTCCTTTGTGTCTACTCTTTCCTCTGTACATGTTCCTTCTAGGTACTCAGAGGCCGTGTCTGATCCAAGGTGGAAAGAAGCTATGAATGAAGAGATGAAAGCCCTAATGAAAGCAAGAACTTGGGAATTAGTGGATCTTCCAGAGGGGAAGAGCACTGTTGGGTGCAAGTGGGTGTTTACTGTAAAGCATAGGGAGGATGCGTCCATTGAGAGGTACAAGGCCAGGCTTGTGGCAAAGGGGTTTACTCAAAAAGAAGGGATTGACTACAAAGAAACCATTGCCCCAGTAAAAAAGCTCAACACAATTCTGGTTCTATTGTCATTGGCAACAAATTTTTCATGGGAATTTCATCAGCTAGATGTGAAGAATGCCTTCCTAAATGGTGACCTTCATGAAGAGGTATTTATGGAACCTCCACCAGGCTATG